GAAAGAAAGAAAGAAAGAAAGAAAGAAAGAAAGAAAGAAAGAAAGAACGAACGAACAGGGTGAAATCTCTAATAGATCATAGTACTTTGAAATGTGCATTTAAACTGTCATATTTTTTTTTGGACTGGCATTAGTATTTATCAATTAACAATAATAGCATGCTGTTCATTCTATTCTATATAAACAAAGAAATTCATGAATCCCAGTACCTTGGAGCTAAAAATATCAGCCTGTCCTGTCCTTCTTTAATACAACAATAATAACAACAAAACACTTCTTTGAGAGTCTCTCAAAGACAAGGTCGAGAAAGGCAAGTTTAAGTATGTAGATGACTATGATTATGGAATGATTAAATTTGGTCCTTCTTAAAATAGATTTTGTAAACTGAGAACTACCAGGGTTGTCTGCTTAGAAAAATCAACTCACTCTATTCACCCATAGGACATCAAAAAGAACAGTGCTGGATTCTTGTGTTGATATATATTTTCTTTTCTCTATTGAACAAATTTTTTCATTCCGTACATTTTGATTATGGTTTCCTCTCCCCTAGTTTCTCTCTCCCCAGTAATAGTTTCACTTCATTATTTATTCACTAAGGAGGGATTAATCTACAGGAAATTAATCTATGTAATAAGTTTAAATGTTTAAGGAGACATTGAATATTAAATATGTAATTCTGTCTAGTTAATCAGATGTCAATAATGAACCTCATGGCTTTTTTTTTTTTTTTTTTTTCAGACAGGACTTCCTTAGCTGTCATACAATTTGCAATCCTTCTGCCTCAGCCTCCTGGGTTCTGGGATTCCGAGCGTGAGCTACCACACCCATGTTGTCATGAACTTTTGTACACATGTGCCTTTACAAAAGGAGGCTTAGTGTCTATATTTCTTTCTATGTTATTTAATGGTTATATTTTCATTATAAATGAGATATTTTATCCTAAGAAAACTGTTTTTAGAAATCTTTCCGGACCATGTTGAATCACAGTCTCACAGCTCTGCACTTATCTTGTGTCTTCTCCCAAGTTGTGAAAGCTACTGAAATCAAGGTACTCTAAAATTTAAAGCCATTTGAAAAGACTGGATTTTTTTCACTGTGTTGAGAACTTAAGTATGTCTGTCTGGGACCTAACAGGCCATCAGAACTACAAGAAAAACAATTTCTTTGCTTGTCTTTACAGAGTTTTCTGATCCACCACTAGAAATGCCTACAGAAGGATGTGTGTAGGAGGGAAGGGGCCCACTAGTCCACAAGCTAGAAATTTGGGACGCTGCTGTGAATCCAATGCAGTCTTCAGGAAAGGCTCAGGAGGGAACATTGTAAGAGTTGCTGCTGAGTCACAGTTGTGTTCTTAGAAGTGTTGGACCAAAAGCTGGGGAATGAATGGATAATTTTTGAGATTGGTGAAAGGTCTTTGAGAACTCAAAAATGCTGGGTGTACTCCTTTGTCATCATTCCTATACCCAGATACAGCTAAATTTAATTTTTAGGTCATGCAAGAAGAAAGGATCTGGATCCATTTCTTTTTACTAATACTGTTGCTTGTACAAACAGTAAGAGAGGAGTTAAGAGACTATTCACATTTCCCATTTCAACCCGGGAGATAATAACAGTCTTTTCTGTCTCTGCCTTGGTCTTTCTCCATTTCCTTTGAGTCTCTCTCTTCTTTTTGTATTTCCCATTCTATTTATCTTTGCTCTTCTGCTTTTCCCACCAGAAACCTCACAGGAAGAGAAAGAGTCAGCCTGACATAAGAGCGAATTACATGGATGAAAACAGAAATAGTCTTTCACAATCCAAGGCAATGCTATGGTAACGGAGTCCTGCCCAGAGCTCCTGACTCATATTCTGGTGTGAGCCTCCAGCAGGCACAGGTGGCAAGTGTCAGTTTAACCCCTTTCTAACCCTGCCGTTTTCAACACTCAGGACCTCTCTCATTAGTCTTACAAAGAACCAAATTCCAACCTCAAATCTCATGCTGTTAAATTAACATCACACTGCGTTGTGTGGTGTGAATGTCTCCATAACTCTACACAGGAAACACTCTTCAGATTTCATTTACCCGTTTAAAAATAGCAAACTCTAATTTGAAACAGTCTCTTTCCCCGACACAGGCATACTATTGTGAACTCTCACAAATATTCCTTCTCAGTGCTAGGTAAATATTTTTCTATAAACACAAATAAAATTCAGTTTAATCACAGGTTTCAGAAGTCACATTTGTCAAAAGATGATGTTTGTTTTGAAACAAATCAAAAAGAAAATACTCTTTAGAGCTAAAATGACAAGCCACAATCTGTTTCATATAACAATGGCTATCTGTTTTTAAGATATAAATCAAAATTTCACCTGTTTATTTTGACTCGAAGATTGCCCAATAGATTATTATATCCCCACCCAATGAAATTTCTTTTTCTTGGGTGGGTGGGGACTGAGCATGGCAACTAATACCTTTCAATATTTGAAACATTTTAAAATGGTGTGACAATGTTTAAATAATGTTTTGATTAGCTCTCTGAGAATGAGCATACTTACCTCCCTTCTTCAACATTTCTCAGATCCTCCTTCATACCCATGCTACATAGCTACATTCTCTCTCTCTCTTTCTCCTTAAATCCAGTAGTGTACAAGGGATTAAAAAAAAATGGACGTCTTCAAACTTCGTTACTCAGTAACTCAAGAAATAAAGTAGGAGAAAACTGTAGAAAAAAAAATGCCTACAGACCACTTTAAGTCCATACGAAGTCCAAAGTAGGTATCATTGGTCTCACTAAGCAAGGAGAGATTCTTTAGTACACAGCAGAAACACTCGGCATACACAGACACAACACTTCAGTTTTGACAGAAGTCACGTCATATTTAAACTCACCGCTGGATGTAAGGGTCGGGGCAGTACTGTAGGGTAGCGCATCTGGAAGTTTCAAAATTCATTTCCTTCAACTCTCTTTGATACCAACAGATGGGGAGCAACTCTATGAAATGCACACACACACCTGAGAATATCTAGGTATATAGCCAGAAGGCTAAAGGCAATAGGGTCAAATGCCATCAGACATAGAAGTTTAGACACTTGCCCCCCCTCACACAGATTTGCAAAGAGGCGGGGCATTTCTTCCTTTCAGCCAATGAGAATCTTCAAGTGACCTGAGCATCATAAACAGTCGCTTCTTACCAGCTGGGCATCCTCTGTAAAGCTGTTCTTCCTCTCTGCCACCGTTTTAGAGCCCTTGATGTAGAGTGGCCACACTTGTTGGCAATTCGTAGGCATCTCTGAACTTCTGAGCTTGCTCGTGATTGGGTGCTGGCATGAATGGCAATCAGAGGTTAATCACAGGAGCCAGGACTTTTGTCACTTGAGCTAATAAATGTCCCCCATTCTCCAGCTGAATAACATCTACTTGTGTCTGGATCCTTATTTGATTTGAGAGCTCTGTCACTGCTGCTGGGGCTAGAATGTTTTGCAGGGGACTTTTTTTTCCCCTCCCAGTCTTCTTCCCTGCCCCCCCTTCAGCCTCCCTTTCAGCCAACCGCCTGTTGTGGTCACAATCTCAAATAGCAAAGACAGGGAAATTCCTTGATTATATTTAACCTAGAACTCACTCTTGGTTTCAACTAGGGAGAGAGTTATCATGCCTATGTCCTTAGAAATTTTTCTTGGCCAAATAAAAGGAAATAGCCTGTACTGATTTCTTTTATCCATATAGATATAAGTAATAGAATTTTTAACGTGACATTAAGCTAGGAAAGGAGACTTTCTTTTACAATATTTTCTAGTTATTTTGTTATTTAGATATCTAGTTAGACTTATTTCAAACTGCCTGTCAATGGGAAAAGTGGCTTATTTCAAACTCTATCATTCTGTCTCATTCTCTTATGTCTCATTTTTGCTGCTTTTAGTCTCTTCTGACCTACTCGAAGATCTAACTTATGCAGTCAAGAATTAATATATTATCAAAGTCTCCAGGATGATTAATTTGTTTCCTTTCTGAATGTTGGCCGTAAACCTATCCTAGGACTGTGGGTTTAGAAATTGAATGAAATATGATTCAGAAGCTAAATAAGAATAGAGTCCAAAAGGGAAATAAAAGCTGTGTGGCCAAGTGTCACTGACATGGCAGGAACACATTTCCATTCATGCCGCAGTCACAGACACCTGCAAACTGGTGACATCAGAAAATGTCAAAGTTGTGAGACAAGCTAAAGAGAAATCTGACATTTTCCTGTAAGAAATTCTGGTTCAAAACGTGTTCATAAAGATGTTTTATTTGTTGCTCCAGCCAGGGAGACGCTATTTAAAACTTGACATTCTCTTCCTTTACTCAGACTGAGAGTGTCTAACATCTGTGAATTGTGAAACTCACACACATGCTGGCCTCGAGCCCCAGCCAAATCAGACAGCTTGCTCTAAAAACTGTGAAGCTTGAAGCAAAGATCATTCCACTAATTAATTATAGATTTGTTCATTGGAATTGAAGTGTTTGGCTTTCTTCCTCTCAGCAAATACAGATGACCTAATTGCAAAGTTCTTAAATTGAGAATAATCAATTTCCTGTGGCCAGGGCCATGGGGGAGTTCCATTACACAGGATCTATCTGCTCCTCATTGTAAGATTAGTCTTTCTTTTAGACATTTATTATTATTATTATTATTATTATTATTATTATTATTATTATTACTATTTACAATTAGTTCATTTTGTATCCCAGTTGGTAGCCCCTTCCTCATCTCCTCTTGCTCGCACCTTCCCTCTTCTTCCTCCCCTATCCCTCTCTCCTAGTCCACTGATAGGGGAAGTCCTCCTCCCCTACCATCTGAACCTAGCCTATTATGTCCAATCAGGACTGCTTGGAAGATCCTCTTCCTCTGTGGGCTGGCTAGGCCACCCCACCAGGGAGAAGTGATCAAGGAGCAGGCAATCGAGTTCATGTCAGACACTGTCTCTTCTCATCTTACTAGAGGACCAGAATGAAGACTGAGATGTCTATGGGCTACATCTGAGCATGGGGCTCTAGATGCTCCCTATGCAAGATATTTGGATGGTGCATCAGTCTCTGCAGTTCCCCTGGGACCAGCTTTCTTAGCATTGTTGGTATCCTTGTGTGGCTCCTGTCCCCTTTGTGTCCTTTCATATCCCTCTTCTTCCATAAGACTCCCTGCACTCTGTCCAAAGTTTGGCTATGAGTCTCGAAATCTGCTTCTAGCCCCTGCTGGGAGGAGTCTTTTAGAGGACATCTGTGGTAGGCTCCTGTCCTGTTCCCTCTCTTCTACCACTTCCGGTGTCTATCCTGTTTTCCCTTCTGAATGAGAATTAAGCATCTTTCCTCACGTCTTCAGAGACATAGGCTAAGAGAGCTTTTTGGAGGCAAACAGCCTAGGCTGTCCCTCAAAATACAAGAAGTGGGGTATAGCTCAGTGGCAAAGGCATGGGTTTAGTGTGAAAAAGGCCCTGGGTTCAGTCCTCAGCCATGAAAAGCAAGAAAGAGTAGGACTATGATTTCAAGTGTAGAGTTTCTTAAATTTTAATAAACTTATGAGTCACTTGGAATTCTCATATATGCAGAATCTGGTTCTTTAATTCTAGCCTAGGGTTTGAGATTGCATTTCTAACCCTGGGATGATTATGCCAAGGTAGCTGATCCTAGGACCAAATCTGAGGTGGTAGGATCTATACTCACTGTTCCTCTGGTATTTATAATTAAGTGCTCACTGAAAATAAGACAGAACTTGTCAACATATTTCACATCACCGTTCAATATCATCAACTTCCACATAATCAATTTTCAAGCATTCTTCATGCACATTTTCATTTACAAGATTTATAACTTAATTTAAAAGATTAAAGTTTAAAATAATTTAAAGTATATGCCATCACACCACAGATGTTATTAAAAAATAGTGTATTTGTCTAGGTAAAAAAGGCAGATTATTAGGTGGCAACAAATTATATAGAAGTACTTATGAAGGATATTGGTTCCTACTGCTTAATGAACATAAACACTGTTCTCTTGACTTAGAGGAGAAAAGCAAGGCCCTCAGACTCACCAGCACATTACCGAATGCAAACATCCACAACCTGGGAAAATAAGGGACAATTACCCTGAAATTACTATACCTTTTTCATATCTGGATTCCACCACTCCCCAAGACACTCAAGTCACTACCCAAATGTGTGAATGATTTCTTTGAGATACAAGATAGATAGTTGTATGAGAGTTTGAATGAATTCTTTTAGTCAGAAAGTGTAGTAGAATAACTTACATGGGCACGTAAAGAGAAAGAAATGGCCTTTCCAGCTTCCATGCTTGAAAGATGCTTGTGAACATCCTTGATTTGTATAAAGCAGAAATAAAGACTTCATGGAAACAATGATGGTTCAGGTTGTGGAGCTCTTGACATGATGTCCCAGAAAAAAAAATGTCTTCCTTCTCTGCTTCTAACAGACAAGAACGTGTCCAGCTTGACTTGGGTATTCAGCACACAAATTCTCTCTTGAGTTTGTGACATCTATCTCACAACTGCTTTCATTTGTGCACTTTCCAGTCTAGGCTGCAAACTTTAATAGTTCCTCTCCTGCTTTGTATTGCGTTTTGTTTTCCACCAGAGGTGTTCTCAAACCTCATCTGTATAACCATTGAAAACGAAATGACCCCTGCCCTTCAGATAGGAGGAACTAACTTTATCTCTCACATGCCGAATCATTACACTCAACTGTCGTGGTTTGTGAATGAAATGTCCCTCATAGGCTCAGGTATTGGAACACACATTTTGAGAGGTTTTAAGACCTTTGAGAGGTGGGGGCTAGTGGAAGGAAATGACTCCCCTGGCCAATGGCTTTAAGACTTGTAACCTAAGCCTGGCAGGGTGACTCATACCTTTAATCCCAGCAGACACAGGCAGATCTCTGTGAGTTCGAGGCCAGCCTGGTCTACAAAGTGAGTCCAGGACAGCCAAGGCTACACAGAAAAACCCTGTCTGGAAAAACCAACTATAAGTAAGTAAGTAAGTAAGTAAATAAATAAATAAATAAATAAATAAATAAATAAATAGTAAATAAATAAATAAGATTTGTAACCCACAGTTTAGGGACTTCTCGCTACCATGCCTTTGAGTCTTTGTGATTCTCATCAAGAAAAGGAAAAGAATTCTGCCACTTGAGGAGAGAACAGTAAGTGCTGGGTGCTGGGGAACAGATGTTGCCATGAACAGCTTAGAGCAGATGGCTTTGTATGCTCTCCCAGCCACGGCCGTTTGTGACTATGGCCACTGTTTATCGGAGAATCTGAATTCAGAGAGACTGGACCTTAGGCCCCATCTTGTTGAGCTCAGCATGGCCTATATCACTTCAGACTATGGGAACAAAAAGAAAACATTCCAGAATACGTTTTTCAGCATCTAACCTCAATTGGACCACAATCTCTGTTCACTGAGGGGAAACCAAAGCTTGCCCTGGGAAGAAGGTCTTACTAACCTTCCCACCTTATGCTTCAATTGTTTTTTACAATTGTTATGGTAACAATTGTAAAAACAATTTACTTTACCTCTAGGTAAAGTAAAGGTAAAACCAGAATTCATGTGTACTGATGTTGATAAAGTGTTAACTCAATAAAGAAATACATTCATTGTAGACTCAATTCTGGTCTTTTGATTTGTCCTTCAGCTTCTTGAAGGCCCTGAAGTTCATCAAATGGAAATATTTATAGCTAAACTAATGACTAGAGTCTGTTCAGAAGAGAGAAAAGGCTTCATGGGGATTGTTCCGATGAATGGGAAGTTTTGATTCAGGGGGCCCGCAAGGAAACACAGAAGCCAATTGGAAAGGCACAGGAAGAGCTTGGCAGGCTCCCTAACAGACAAACCTGATACCCTCGAGTTACACCCAGTGTCCAAAAGCAATGTGGGTGGGCTTCTTTTCCAGACACACTCCAACAGCT